TTGGAGGACTTCTTGGACAACGCCAGTCTTTGACATGTTAAAACCGGCTCAACGGTGTGTGTCTCTGCGGTCGTATTGATCCTTTTAAAGTATTGCTTTCACTGCGTGATTCTGGCCACGAGGATGGCACGTAAAAACACAAAAGGAGAAAATCGATTTACACTACAAAATCCTTCTTGTAAAGAAACCTCTGGCTGAAAATAGCATTTCCGCTATAGCTACACACAGGAGTTACCGCTCCAGTGGCATGTTTTTAAAAATGTTATTGGTGACTTTTTAAATACAAACTTGAGATGGGCTTAGACATTGTATATTTGAATAATCATTTTTAAATCTCTACATATTATCAGCCACATATCGTTTTGTGTGTTTTATAATTTAAAGTGTCATTGAATTGTCTGCTAATTTAAAAATATTTCATAGAGCTGGTTGGTACAGCACCTGATGTCATGATGTCAATATCAGGATTTAAAGAGGACATTCTGTATGAAAATCGACTTGGAATTCTGTTATATATATTATATATGATTATATAGATTATATATATCTGCCGACTGAATCAGATCCAGTTTTAAGTGGATATTTTATCTGCTGCAAAAATCTTCTGACGGTGATTTTACCATTACTACAGCTTTCATCTGCGACAGTACCTGTTCAAAGATCCACCGTTTGTTTTACTTGAACGTGACTGCCCGACAGCTGGGACGTACGACCCAGAAGCTAAGAACAGCTGTTCATTTAGCGTAGCGCTAAATGAACACGGGCTATTTTATGTCAACACTCGAGGCAGTAGAAGATAGTTATCGTCTGTAACAACATAGTCGATAAATTTGCATAAAAGTAACTGAACAATTTTCAAATCTAAAACTTCCAGGTTCATTATTGGCTCCTGACTTTCTTCTGGAGCCGACTCTGGCATAAACCTTCACATCTGGACTACAGTTGGTTGCCATAGTAACATAGAGTGTCCTAACCCCCCCCGCCCCCCCCCGCCCTAAAACAAGTTGGCAGAGCACACATTACCATTTAAAGGTAAAGGCTAAGCCCTTCAGAATAGGGCTGTTGTCCAGGGTGTGCTAACAGGGTGAGCTAACACGGTGTGCTAACAGGGTGTGCTAACAGGGTGTGCTAACAGCTGTGCTAAATTCTTCGTTTTCTTTTGACCAAAACATTTCATTTAGACATCAAGGAACCATATTACTTTAAAAGAACACCTAGCATCATAATTAGGACATCCGGTCCATCCGGTCCATCTGGTGTAGCCATGCGACCGTCCTGGTCCATCTGGTGTAGCCATGCGACCGTGTTGTGTCTGCGCCACAGTTTGTGTTTACTGGTCGTGTCTTAACTGTCTCAGCACTGTTGGTGTCAGCGTTGCCCCGAGCAACGGTGGAAGGGCAGATGTTGGTGCTTCCTCGGAAGAGGCGGTAATTAGGCTAATGTGACAGAAGACAAATGGAGACTTCGGAGGAGACGGCAGAATGAATTAATCGCCGATCTAAATACGGCCTCGCACCTCCACGTCAGGAGGTCAGGGATATTTAACTCCTCTATGACACACACGGACGTCTACCTGTGCGTGCGATCTCCGACGGCAGCGTGGCGGCTCTGTGCAGATGCCAAAAGGCTGTGTCATGTTTTTTTCCGTTTGGTGTTGGTTCATTCACTCAGATTGTTGGAAACTGAACTAGTTCTGCAGCGCTCTCCGCTGGGTACTGTGCATCTTGTTAAGGTTTTCTTTTTGTGCCGTCTCCCGCTGTTCCTCTTTGAAGGTCATGGAGATTTAAAGACTTTGAATACACTTCTCAGAGCCTGACCTACTTTTATTGAATTCCCTGTTCTATGCAAAAAAAAAAAAAGCAGCAGCTTTAGGTATTTGAAATTTATGTTGGTATCGTTACAGAAGTGGGTTAGGAGAGGAGAGCTGTTCAAAGACAGAGAGGATTACAGGGCTTCTCAGGTACGGCAGAGACTCTGGTGAATAATGATGCCGGGCAGATAAATATAGTTGGCAGGACGGTTAAAAGGGAAACTAATTGTTTCTTGTCAAGTGATGAGAAACTACGGCGGGATGTTTGCATCATTCCCTCAGGACGTCATCTTCAATAGTGAGTAAAAGCCACCTTTAAGATGCTGCTTTTTAACCAGAGCTGCACAGACAGAGCGGAGAAAAGAACCTCCGTTCTCTCTCTCTCTCTCTCTCTCTCTCTGTGTGTGTGTGTGGACATCTGCCCACACTCAGGTCTGGTGCATTAACCTCCGGAGACTTCTGCTGCTGATGTGGCTTAGGTTTGGCCGAGTGGAGCTCGCTGGGAAGTCGGCCAGACTGAAGAGTGTGGGCAGACGACTACAATTGTGCTCATTCTTTCTCCCACAGAAATCTGGGAGATATTGATTAACAGCAGAAGATATTTGAAAAACATTTGCTTTTGTTACTTGGGAGTTTTTTTTCTTTCTTGGGGAAAACAAAAATGAATCTTTCTGGATTGAGAAACGAATGAGCTGTTGGAAAAAAAACACGCAAAAAGCAACAAAGAATACTGAGGTTTTTTTATACGTTTGAAATACTTTTGAGCGCTGTGTTACTACTTTGCTACAACCTTTACATTAATACTTAACATTTGTGCCTCCATGCTGAATCTTACTTTGTGAATGTAAGAAAACACAACACCATTTCCTGATTTTTTTTTTTTTTTTTTTGCTTTCAACGAAATCATTTTATCTCGTACTAAAACTCTGAATGAGGAATGTTTTTTTTAGGGTTTTTTAGAGCAACATTAGCAGGACTTCCCCCGGCTTTGTGACTTCTGATTATTCTGGTAAATTAGTCAAAAACTGTACCAGAACTGACTGTTATGACGTCAGCATGTTCTTTTTCAGTCTGACTAACAAGTCGCACCTTTTGGAATTCTACTTAAAAACAATTATGAATCCTTTACCACCTAATTTTTTTCATGGTTCTGTGTTCTATGTTTTTGAGTCACACTCATATGTTTGGTCAACTTCAAGTGCAAATTGAACCGTCATGGTTCTGTATGTTTTTGAGTCACACTCATATGATTGGTCAACTTCAAGTGCCCATTGAACCTTGTCCATCATTTACCACTGGGATAGAACTCATGACCGACTTGAAGTTATGCAATGATTCACTCACTGTGTCTGTAATTGAGTCATTTTTTTCATCTGACAGAAAAAAAACAATCACATAAACCCATAAGCTAAATTCTGCAGCTCGTCCACAGTCTGTCTGTCTGTCTTTATTTCCACTGTCAAATCAAAATGAAAATAATTTCAAAATGCAAATGAACTAAACATTTTCTATGACATCTTGTGTTGACACCGAAGCTTAAAACCTTTATGTAATTTGACCTGCACCTCAATGCTGTCAATTTGAAAATAAAAAAATTAAACATAATTCTATTATTTTATATTATTTATTTTGTTTTTGTTAGCTAGTTTTAACATCCCATTTCATTAAAAACCTATCATTGAAAAACCTTCCTACTGATTCTGTTAAAATATCACTATTTCATGCCATGACATGGTGTAACATCCTATAATCCTTCACATCCTGTTCACATCTTTTCCCTGGCTCTCCATGACTGTCTGCTAGTGTTCGCTCGGACAAGGAGTTGCTCAGTTTCCCCACAAACATGCAGCTTTCCCGAAATGAACTGTTCTTGTGGAATTAATCATACGTCCCGGCTCCTCCACATTTCTCCGATTTTAAGCCTGGCTGCATCTTTGTTCGTTCTACACATGCTCAGCGAGGGATGCTGCCTGGTTACAGTAACGTTAGAGACGGCCTTATTAGCTGCATTACTCATTGTCTCCCCTTTTCTTTCAACGTGACTTTTCTGTCTGGGCTTCAGTGGAAACAACCCAACAACGATGCGCTCTGACTCGGAACGGTCAAAACAACCAGGCTCAGCTGGAGTTGGACCTTTATTTGGTCGTAGGATTCTCTGCTCCCTGTCAGACGACGACCAGTTCGATCACACGTCTAACATGACGACTTGAAGTGAGGCGTATGATTGAGACTGAGCAAAAGCTGTTGGTTTTTGTTTTGTTTTTTTGCTGCTTTGAGTGGAATATGTGTATAGTTTTCAATTTTAAAATTCAACCACCTCATACACCCAAACAGGAAATCCTCAGAACTGCCAAAAGGCTGTTTAAATATGTATTTAATTCACCAAATATATCTTATTTAAATGAGTTTGACCTGAAAGGTTAAACATTTTATCTTTAGTAGAAACAAAACGATATCTTATTTAAATGAGTTTCAGCTGAACATTTTATCTTTAGTAGAAACAAAACAAGGTTCCCTAACCCCCCGCATGGCCATAGGAACCGCTTTTGCTTCAAAACAACAAATGGAATTCAAGTCTAGTGTGAGTTCTCCGTCGTGGAAACAATAAAGAAAATATTAAACTTAAGATTTATTTATCTTTGTGCCCCCTGGAGGGCCCCGCCCCCTCATTTTAGAATACCTGCATTAAATAATCCAAAGAACATTTTCATTGACAGGTTTAGACTCAAGATTATAAAGATTTGTTTTTGGTTAACCAACCGTAGCTACAGGTTGGTTAACCAAACCTAATAATATTCAGCCCTGGTTAGTCTAAACCAGCAGCGACTGTCCGGTCATTACATTACTAGAGTGCAGTGAAGAATGTAGTATTTACTTCTGCATGTTTCCTAGTTTCCTTGTGCTCGAGTGAACGCTCTGAGTTCCTTTCCACCATTGTGGTGAAGTTCTTTCACCAGAGTTTCCAGCTTTGGCTGCTGCAACAGCTCGTCGCCGATTAAATAGATTCTTCTGATTAAGACGACAACTGTTCAAATGCGCTCCGACAGCTCTCTCTCCCCAAAACTAAGTGATCGCTGGGCAAATCTGTTGAGCCTGCGGTGCTATGCTTTCAAGATCAATTAGGATTAGAGTGTGTGTGTGGTGTGTGTGTGTGTGGTGTGTGTGTGTGTGTGTGTGTGCGCAGCCTTACCAGGGCTTTGGTCTCCTCTTCGTCCTTGTAGTAGTACAGCTGATCTCCTCGCAGCACAAACCAGCGGCTGTGCCAGGTCTTCACAAACCCCCCCTGCTTCCTGAGCCACCCGCACCTGACGACGCTGGGTCGACCCGGCCGCTGCCGGTCTGCGCCGGCTGCACCTGCGCTATGCTGGGGACTGCTGAGTGACACACGCTGGTCGTCCATCCCAGCGACGTTCACCTGCCGGGACGGAGTCAGGAAAGTTCAGAACTGTTCATTTAGAAACAAATAATTCATCAGTTAATGCATTTGGAAAAACAATCAAACAATCAGAAAAAACCCCACAACAGACCAGACCAGAGAACGTTCAGTAAATTCGATTAAACAATCAATTAAACAAAAAAGACCAGACCAGAGAACGTTCAGTAAATGATGGGACTCCGTCCACTGCTAATGAACCGGAGTGAACCACAGTCTGTTCAGCTGAGTTAGTGCCTCCTCCGTGGAACGATTCTTCTGGTTGTCCTGCCCATTGTCTCCACACTGAGGTGTCTTTTTTTCTTTTTTAAGTGATGTCTTATTTTGATGCCCTGTTTAAACTTGTTGTGTTGTTTTTGTACTGGTTCTGGGTTCTGATGGCTGAGAACAGCCAGCCCTTTAACAGGAATGTCTGGCCCATTCACTGTGGTTTGTCTTTCATGGAGTGCTGCGGAATTCCAGCCAGAAAATGTGGAGTGCTGCGAGGAGACAATGGCAAAAGGGAAAATGTGGGAGGAACTGGAAGAATCTGTCAACCAGATAACCAGACCTCAGACAAACCCTTCAATATATATATATAAATATAAATATATTCCCTTCATTTTTTCTATCCTTTACTTCCGTCCTGTCACTCCTCCCAACCACCACCACCTACTGTAACCAGACCTCTAATGCTCTGATTCACGCACCACACACACTGACAGACAAACACTGTAAACACGAGTGCAAACAAAACAAATCATGCAACAACCCAAACAACCCGTGTGTCGTTCCCACAGCTATTGTTAAATCCTGCATCAATCAGTGACATCTCTGCTGTAGACTGTGACTGTGACTGTGACTGTCATCACAGGCTCTGGTGGAGCTTGGCTTGGTGGAAGTCCAACCGGCCTACAGGACCAGATGAGGACCAGATGAGGACCAGATGAGGACCAGATGCAGTGTGGCAGTAGTTCATGGAATAGTGCTGCAGTGTGACAGGGCCGCTGTGTTGATTTGTAGCTTTGGGTCGGTCCAATGCACACATTCCAGGTAAACATGTCCTGCATGGATGTGACGTGCAGAAACACGCTCGCGCCTTCACATTCCTATCAGGAAACCGATTATTTTACAGACTCACGGCTGTGAGCTGCTCTGGTTTCACTAACAGAGCGGAGAGTAAACGTTGCCTCTAAATGTTTGCTGAAATCAACAGGACATGAGAGTGAATTATGAAGTGAAATGCGACCTCTGCTTTTAACCCCTCACCAATGAGAGTAGGAGTGTTTGGTGACGGTGCCATGCTCAGTGGTGACTTGGCAGCTGGTGGACTCGAACCTGAAACCTTCCGGACCCAAGTCCACTTTTTACCACTACGCCACCACTGCCTTAGTGGGATTCTTCACACCAGATTAGTACAAACAGAACATCAGTTATCATTGGGGGTCAAACCAGTGATCTTCTCCCTGTAAGGCTCGAACCCTAACCGTCAACCACCGTATGGCCTCTGCAATCAGTAATTTCCACTAACTGCTCATATACAGCTTATTTTAAATGATAGAAAAAAAACTTAAGGCTCTGACTCTTAAAAACATGGTAAATAATTTTATGTATGAACTTATAATCGAGCTCATTGTTTCCCAAAGACTGGGTCGCTTAAGGCTCGAACTGTTAAAAACATGGTAAAATAAATGGTAAAAATAATTATAATTATAATGGTAAAAAATTATAATGGTAAAAAATTAACTATTTACCATGGTAAATAATTTAAATTTGTGAGAGAAAATGCCAGTCCATCACAATAACAATGTATGAACTTTCCCAAAGACTGGGTCGCGACCCTCAGGGGGGTCGCAAGAGTTTTTTTTTTTTTTTTTTTTTTTTGGGTTGTCTCGCATCATTTCCCAGGAGTTTACAAATAATATCTTTTGACTTTGGTCGTAAAGGTTTGTAACTTTTAAAATATGGATCCCTAGAAAAAAAGTTTGGGAAACACTGATCTGGCTGATCCGTTTACTTCCAAAGTACTATGGAAATGACCAGAACACATCCTATATCATATCCTATATCATATCAAACATTACAGATATTTAGGACCTGTGTGTTTTTCCACAGTCTTTGTTCTACTCTGTCCACATCAAGTCTGGGTCCGTAGTCCTGTTACCGTTGCTTCGACTGATCTGTGCTGCTACCAGCCCACATGGTGAACACCCCAACAGGAGAAGAGGTGCTGCTTCAAATTTGCATAACGCACCTGTTTATATATATATAGAGATGTGAGGCAGAAACACTGCAGTTATAAATGACCGCAAAAAAGAACAGAGTTAATATCTAAAAAAAAGGCACATCTTCTATTAGTAACACCCCCCCCCCCACACACACACACATGTGGTCGTGTGTTTGAGGTCATTTCTTTCTTTCTCCTTTTAGGAGTTTTCCATACTCCATTTAACACACACACATTCCAGTAATTCACATGACCTACATGGTGACAGGGTGTGACCTTCAGTGACCTTCAGTGACCTTCCTCAGATACATTTTATCCGTGTTTTCATCCGGGTGAAGAGTGGGTTTAAAGTGAGGCACACTTATCATTCATACGACCCACTGATCCACTGTTCTGGGATTGGGGGGGGGGGGCGGTTGTGAGGGAGGGGACGTTGTTAGTGATGATGATGTCATCAAAGACTAAAGTTCTAACATAGCTTAAATAGTTCCTCGAATCTAACAACACCAAACAGTTGTAAAAGCCACACGCGGTGGAGGAGGTGGTTGTTACGGTTGCCTGATAGCAGGATTGGTTTGAAAAGCAGCAGGTTCAATCCCCAGTCTCTATCTATGGTGTTTGCTGTAAATGTGATGTGGAATTGACCAAGGTGTGAATGACAGTGTGAACGGTTGTTGGTGTCCCTGTGTACTACGACCCTTGACCTTAATGACCTCTGCCTCTGAAATGCTGTTTGACTTTAAATGAAAATTATTACCTGACCTTTTTTTTTAGTCCACTTTTTTAAACAGGGGTTGATATTTTGACAACATTATATTTTGATAACAATGGAACCAAAGGTGACATTCAGGAGGACATTATGAAAGTTATTAGACCATATAAGGCAGTAACATCACAATCTCACACATTTTTAACTGTAATATTTGACTTTTTTAGAGTTTCATCTATCACATTTGATAAAAGTTCATCCAGTGAATTCCATTCTGGTTACTGCAGTACATTTCTCTCCCAGTCTAAATGAGAACCTAATAAATCACATCAATGATGACACTGGGACAGAAGAGGGGGCTAATGAGCATGCGAGTCAACCAGATGCATTTGTTTAGTTACCTGACTCCACCTAACAGTGACTTTAAGCATCACCTGACCTGCTTTCAAACCTGGTTTTAATAAGAAGTCGCTGTTTTCTGCCGACTCCACTGCTGTGAGCACATTTACAAAGCAGCGGCGATGACTCTGAGCACAGCTCGGCTTGACTTTTCTGACTATTCAGCACAGTGAAAACAACCTTCCTGTGACACATACAGCGCCTGTGTAAAACAGCTGCATGTGCACGTGTGTCTGTGTCTGGGGGGGCGGGGAGGGGGGGGGGGCAGTGGCTTTTCCCTCCCCCTTTTTTTCTAAACAAACCTGGGGGGCCACTGAATTGTGATCGTA